CCCCTAAAACTATGCAATTTTTATTGCAATAGAAAATTTGTACTCATTTTGATAATTTTAATATTATTCAAATTTTACCGAAATTTAAATCTAAAATCAAATCGATTTTTGAGAGAAATTCAAAACTGCATATAGCTGAATGTTTTAAAATGATGTTACGACCCCATATTTTATCTTCAACTTCCATTATTCGGAATTCAACTGAATTTCTTTTAATTTTGCAATTCATAAATGTTGTAATTTATGAGTCTTTTTTTTTTTGAAATTTCATTATTCCGTAACTTATTTCAATAGTCTTTTAATTTTTACAGTCTTATTAAACTAATTATTTGCTTAAAGGAAACTAATAAATTAAAAATTACAAATTTTTATTTTGAAGCTGAACTGTTTAAGTTGCATTAATGAAAGAAAAGCATAACGTGTTTCATTTTTAAAAATTTCATGCAAATCCACACAGAGTATTCAACAACAAAATTAAAGGATACAAAATTTGTTGATAAAAATCGTAATTTTTAATTAACAGATTAGTAAATTCGGCAAGATAACCTCTATTTTATGCTTATATTAGCGAATAAGCAAATAACAGTCATTTTTGAAGTAAAAATCAAAATTTCATGGTAGCTAAAATTCTGCTAATAGAATGTATATTGAAAAGTTTCGACCTAGTCCTATAGATAGTTATAATTAATGGCTAAAAATTTAATGAAATAAAAGTTTTCTAACATGTAAAAGTTTTTTAGTTTCAAATATCAAAAAAAAAAATTTTTAACTTTATTTCAACATTTTCTTATACAATTTATTGCTTCGTTTCACACTTTTTACATTAAAATGTTGCTGAATAAGTAAACCGACTACAAAATATATTTTTGTATGCTCATAAAAAAACATGCTCACAGACACACACATTATATAAAATAAAACTTCTATACTTTAAAAAGTAATTTGTTTTTTTTTCTTTTAGTACATGTAAAACTAGAAAAGTAAATTGCATTTCTTTTGAATGAAATTCAAAATTATAAAATAGAAAAGTTTCATTTTTAATTATATGAGACGAAAAATGAAAATAATTTAGAATACTAGGTTATATTAGAATTTAAAGAAAATGAAAATTTTTTAGTTCACATTTAATTCGGAGGGCTTACGAGTAGTTCACATTTGAATCGAAAAGCAAAAATAATTTCAGATATGCAATAAATTAATATATGCACATATCCTTGCGTATAACAATAAATTCTGGATCGATTAAGCAATTTCTGTTCATCTGTTCATTATTAAGCCCCCTATCGAATTAATTTAAATTCTAAAAAAAATTATTAAGTGTAAAATTAAATTAAAAAATACAATCAATCAAAAACAATTTAATTTTTCGTGTTTTTAACGCTTTTCTTCAAAAAAAATGAAAAGCGTTTAGTAATTTAACTTTGTCCGTCCGTCATTTGAGTGTCTACAAATCTTTAATACTTTTTAATAGAAAACGGAAATTTTATATACAAATAGATCTATATTAAAAACTTTATTCTATAGAAAAAAACCTTACTATCCATTCTACCTATTTGACACGCTCACCCCCTCTGAAAGTAATAGACTCTACGTATCAAAACCATAAAATTCCATAATTTTTTAAATTCCATAAATGTCAGAAAATAGTAACAAGCTTCTTATTAAATTGACCGGTCAAGTTAACCTGTAATTCGTTTTTTCTTTTTAAATTTTTGATATCATTCTTCTCCTAGATATTAATTCATAACAGTCTGAAATTTTAGACACTAATATAAATCTATTTCGTAAAAAGAAATTTTTTATCTCTCATAAAAATTCATCCAATCTCATATTACTTGATTCTGAAATTAGTAAATTTCTGCGCATTGTATTTCTGAAACAACAAACTTACACAAATTTCAATAAAACTAATAATTCGTGACTTGTCGTCGAAAAATATAGAAATTTATTTTAACTGGACATCATTAGCTAACAAATTCGATCATTAATTTTATTAATTCCTGCAGCCATCCTAAATGTATGCAATATTTTTATTTATTGGTTTATTACTGAAAGTAAATTAAACAGCTAGATTATAGCTAGATTCTAGCCAACTATTCAAAAAAAAATATTTTCACTCGTACAGGAAAAAACTGCTACTCCGAATTAATTTTCCGGATGTAATTGATTTCGACAAATCATTTCCGAATTAGTTTCTCTTTTGTTTATTAACTAAAAATTATTAATATTTTTTAATAAAAATTTTCAATAACCTTCATATCAGTTAACATTCACTAAAATATGGAATATTTTTTCTTTTTCGAAATTTCTGCACAGTTACACTTAATGAAATAAAATCAAAAGATCCTTTTGTTTATAAAATTTTTGTAATAAAAAAAAAAACAAAAATAAGGTTGACCAAATAAAAATAAATTCCCAGTTGAAAATATGCACTAATTTTTCTGATTCTTTTCTCTTCTTTTTTTATTATTTTAATTTTAAAAAAGTGTATAGTGTTTTATGACTAATTATATAAGTACACAGTTGAATAATAACCATACATACATTGTATATCAGAATTTTTAATTAATAGGTCAGCAGTTCCATTAAGTTCAAAGAAAGATAATAAAACTAACACAAAAAAAAAATCCTTTCGGGGAAAAATTTTTATTTTGTTTAACAATGGAACAAAAAAAAGGAATTTTATGAGTTATACAAGTTTAAATTAAATAATATTTTTTGATTTTAATTGAAAACAGTTTTATTTGAACATAAAAATTTTATGCGTTAATGTACTCGTATAAACAAAATGAGGACATTTTCGCATAATTTTTGAAAGCTTATCGAATAAATTGTTTTTTAACAATTACAATTGTTTCTCACTTCCTTTAATCAGGATTTTTGAATATTAAATTTGCTTGAGGACTAATTAATTTAATTGTGAACTACCATTTAATGAACAGGAATAATAAATATATCTAATGTTAATTTTATAAAATCGATGGTTAAAACTATTACTTTTCCAATGATATCTACGACAACGGGATTTTTGCTTATTTTACAAGACCAGTTTATTTAATACTCAAAAAAAGCATAAAAGCTTCATAATTTCGACCGAAATCGAATGAATTAAGGATTCTCCTTTAATTTTTTCTATAGGATAGGTGTTTAAAAAATTGTTTTTGTTCAAACTTTTGTAGAATGAAGGCAGAATAATAGGACCATAACAATGGGATGGAGCTCATTTCCCATTGCTATGGTCCTATAATTCTTTAATATCATTCTAAATTTTTAGTCCAGGAGAAATAAAGAAACATTAACATAGGACATGTGTTATTTGTGTTATGCATCATAAACAGAATTTTCCTGTATTTTTGGAACCTTAACATCAAAAGTATGTAAATTAAAATTCTCCCTAACTGGCAACGATGTTCACGTCACTTTGATGACAATAATAATTCTGTGTTATATTTTTAAGAAATTAGCGAGCATAAATTCTATTTATCAAGAAATTTTAATTTGTAAGTCCATACATATATTGAAATGTTTTTGAAAAATAGGGCTGTGTGTATATTCTTTTAAAGGTATTTAAAAATTATTAATTTGTATTTTATTTTTTATAATGCAAATTCTCTCTAATACGAACTAATTTTTTTTTTTTTGCCAAAATGGTGATTTGTGCCATTAAGATCTAATTTTACATCTATTTTATATTAGCAACTATTTTATTGTTAATAAATTAGTACAATGAGTTTTACAATAAGTTCACAAACAATTGAGTGATTCAAATGTTTTTCTTGAGTAAATTTTCTATTTTATCTGTCTATGTAAGCTGTCTTTGTCATACTGTCATTACAACTTACTTAATTAATTTTTTATTAAATTACCCTTTACTTAATTAATTTTAAATTAAATTTTTGACGGGTCACTGCAGACTTATAGGGACACCTCATTCGGCTGGACCTGGAAAATGAGGATACTTGCAGATTCTGTGGGGAGGATGGGGAGACCTCGTTGCAAGGGACTCTTGCTCATAGGAGGGGAGAGATGCTGGTGGGCTTTGCTCTAACGGCGGCCGAATTATGGTCTTCCAGTCCTCAAAACTTGTTTGAATTCATCAGGAAGGTGGATCTCGAGTGTGTGTTATAGGGCATGCCCCGCACTCGGCAGGGCAGGAGGAATCTAATCAAATCTACTTAATTAATTTTATTATTTTAAAATTTTACAATTCTGATTAAGCAAGTAAATCAATAAAACCAAAATTTCTAATATTTTATTCAATTCTAAAAAAAATTTCTCTAATTTTTATTTTATTTTTTTTTCATTTCAGTGCAACTTCAAAATTCATATGAAGAATAACAAAGAAATTTCTCTACACTCAACAACAAAAAAAAAGTAACAAAAAATTTGTATGAAATGCGAAATACAGAAAATTGGAACAAAACCCAAAAATACACACAAAAAAATTAATGCGTAAAAATACAAAAAACAAAAACATAATAAAATTAGAAAAAAAAAAACAAAAATTAATGTAAATAAAAAACACGAAACTAACACATATGGAAAAATCCGTCTTTATTAATAACAAAAAAACAACAGTGAATAAATTTTTTTTTCTTATTTCATAAATCCTAGTTATGTAGAATTTTAGAAGAGAAAACAATAATCAAAACAAAAAAAAAACCTAAAACCAAATCGAAAAATCAAATCAAAAATTGCATGAAAGCTTTACTAAAAAAAAAAAATTAAAAAATAAAAAAAAAAGGAAAAAGAGAGGAAAAAAAAGGTCGACAAAGTGAAAAAAAAAAAATTTTTTTTATAAATTTTTTAAGTGCAAAAAAAAAAGATGATTTCAAGGAAAAAATTTGTATAAATTTTTTTTTCATCACAAATTCTATTATCCTTTTTCTCAGTGTTTATTCGTTTTAGTTTTTTTTTTTTTACTTAAATTTTTTTTCTCTGTGTACTCAATTTTTTTTTTCCTGATTTGCTCTCAATTTTATTCTAATTTCTGTTTTTTCTCCTTTATGTGTTCTTGTGATATTTAAAATGATTTTTTTTCATTTTACTTGATTTAGCTTAAAAAATTAAAAATATGAATAGAAAAAAAATATATATATATATATTTTTTCGCTAAATTAAATTTTATATTTTAATAAAAAAAAAATCAAAAAAAAAAACCACAAAAAAATAAATGTAGAAATTATTTTTAATGCCTATTTATTAAAAAATAAAAAAAAAAATGAAAAGAAATTAAAAATAAATAAAAAAAAAAATTATTAAGGACGTGTGCAAAAAATTAATTCAAGCGAATATAGGAAACAAATAAAACACATGGGAGTTATGGGAGATTTACAAGCTACAATTGAATTTTCTGTTGAACTTTATAAATTTTATAATGTTGATTTATTTCAAAGAGGGTAAGTATTATAATATTTTTACTCTTTTATTTATTTTTTACCTCTCTCTCCCTCTTTCTCTCTTTTGCATGTATGAAATGACAACAAAATTTATTATTAAAAATTCACTATTTCTTTTTTTAAATATTTTTCTCATTTAATTTGTTCTCATTATGGTTGCTGAACGACAATAATAATCTCTCTTCTCTCTCTTTCTGTTATTCTTTATTTTTTCCACCATCTCCAATTTAATCTCAATTATGATCATATTTTCTTTTTGTTTTCTTTTTTTCTCATACTAAATTAATGTTGTTAAAGTTTTTAGTTAAGTGAGTGAATGCAAAATTTTAATCTAATAAATTTTTTTATATTTTGTGTCATGCAAATAAATGCGTCACAACACAATACAATATTGTAATGTAAATTGTACAAGTATTATAGCAATAATAAAAATTGCAATAATAGGAATTGCAATTTTGTGTTAACATAGACTTCTTCAAGTAAATATTAGATGGTTTTTATTGTAATTGATATTGTATGACAAAATAATAAAATTATAAATTGAGTGACTTTCTTGTAATACAATTATTTTTTGTTTCCTGGAAATTATAATTTAGTTTTATACTTGCATGAATTATATTTTGAATAGAAATTTATTATACTGAAAATATGATATAACTTTAATTGTGATTTATGAATGCAAAATGCAGAAATTATTTACTGTCTTTACAATATTTTGATGTTGTGGAGTTTTATTTGAAAGAAAAACAAACAAGACTATAGTAAGCTATAGTTGAATTACCAGTAAATGGAAGAGATGAGTAGGAAAGAATTTCTTCTGAAGTGAGAATATTATTATGGATAATTTTGATAACGAATCTCGAAAATAGAATGGAAGCTAAAAAAAAATGAATTTAAAAAAAGGGGAAGCCAGAAACAATTAAATGCATTTTCCGAGAAATTATAGAGACTCGATACAAAATAGTATAAAATTATTAAGTAGTTTATTCGCTATTATGTCATAGAATTTAGTCTACCAATATTGCTCTTTTTTATCATAAACATAAAATTTCGATTACATATTTTAAAATTCATGTCTAGTACTAAATTTGTGAAGCACAGTGGGTTTTTTTCAATTTTGTGTTATGACACTCTATCGTCCTATTACAAACGTATTATTATCACCTGCTTATAGCTTGGGAAATCATATTAAATATCCCACATTATGAACTTATTTAATATTGAACTTTAATAATGTGCAAATTATTTAACAAGAAGGTGAATTTTATTTTACATTTGTAAGCATATTTAAATACTTTCAATTCTATATTCCATTAAAAATGTACTTATTTCTCAATACTTTTCATATTTAACATTAACAGTATTATCGCCCCCGCCCTCCACGAAAAAACAGTAATTCAAACTATTCTCCAAAAATGGAGCAATTTTTTTCTTCTCTCAAATGAAAATTAATTTTTTAAAAACTTGTAACATAAATTTTATAAAGAAAGCATTCTATCATAAATCAAAAACTAAAATTTTATATTAAAGCTTACCGAGCAAATAATAAAAAAACTTCAAATATACTTACCCCTCCCCCCCTCCTTCTAACAGATTAAAGTTTCTCTCTCAAAATAAATTAAACTTATATTTTAACTTCTTCTTATCATTAAACAACTTTCTCTCACTTCACAAAAAGAAAAACCTAAAACTAAAACATGAAACTAAAAATATTTCCTCTTCAAAAGTTTCCAAAAACAAAAAAAAAATAAAAATAAATTAAAATGAATGCCGGATAAAAAAAAATGTTTTTTTTTTTTTCTTGTGTAGTTTTCAAAATGACTTTTGAATTTCTCATTTTTTTTTTATTTATGATGAAAGACGGAGAGAAATAAAAATAAGGTTAAATTTTCAATTGATATACTTGAATATTTTTTTTCTAAACTAATCGCAAAAAAAAAACTAAAATAAAAATAATAAAAAACACAAATACAAATAAAAACTTTTACTTTCTAAAGTGAAAATGTGCAAAAAACCAAAGAAAAAAATTCTCTCTTTTCAAAACCCTTACATTTTTTTTTTCTCCACATATATGCAATTTATTAAAATTCAACTGAGACACAAAACAAAAAAAAAAAGCATAAATTCAAGAAGAGTACAGAGAAACACACAAGAAACTTTTCACTATACAAGAAAAATAAAAACAAAAATAAAGAAAAAAAAGAAACCAAAAGAATTGAAACAAAACTTTTAATTTGTTATGAACAAATTTTTGTATGACGACAAAAGTTTTATTCCGTACTTGGGATTGTAAACGACATAAAAAACAATTAACGGCTTATATTGTAAACAAAAATTTCCTCTTATTCTCTCCCCTTTTCTTGTTTTCATAAATTTCTCATTTGTTTTTTTTTTTTATTTTATTGTTACTTTTGTTCCATAACAATTTTTTTGTTTTTTTAGGCTTTATTGTAGTAGTCATTCTTCTTCACAAATTTATTTTCATATTATACAATATACATACAAACATTCATATATAGAAACCTCAATATATTTTATTGCAGAGTTTCACATTTGAAGTACATGTGTGTATACGTACGTACACGTTTTTATGTAAATAAATTTATAATCAAAATTTTATACAATATGTACCATTCTGTGTTAATGTTCCAACATACAGTATGATTCGTGTAATAAAAATTTCTTGCCGAATTTCTCAAAACTTTTTATAGAACGAACTACAATATGAGTTGTAGATATTGATATTTATGTGCCCTGCAATTATACATGCCGTCTTTAGAAATCAATCAGCCAAATGATCCACCGTTTAGAAATTTATAGGAACTTGGAAAAACCAGAAAATAAATTTCCAAATATAAAAAAGTCATTATCAATTGATTTCCAAATATAAGACAAAAACCTCTTTGTGGTGAGATTTTAATCATAATATACGAAATACAACCGAAATTCCCTTTTACGAGTAATAATCTCAGACACAAACCCATTTACGATTAGACGAAAATATATTTAAAAGGCGAGAGATTGTACAAAAAATTTTAATCAGAGAATAATTTAAAATTATAAAAGATAGAGACAACAAAATATGATTGTCATAAATATAATAGCATAGACTCAAATTTGAGGAACGTTTTGAGAAAAATTCGATATCATCGATTTGCTCAATTAATATACAAATTCATAATTTCTATGCGGCACAGAACAATCATCATGATGTAAGTAAGTTATTCATCGATATATTTCATACCATATATACACTCTTTAAGTAGTATAATATTTGTATAACACATAAGAAAAATTTTAGTTCATTTTAACTAGATAACACTGTAAATAAAACGTGTAGGTACACATGATTCAATTAAATCTGCATATATGAACAATAATAAAAATTTTTAATACTTATATAGAATATATATATATTTTTTTTAATATATTCACATATTTCACATGGCCATACTTGAGATATTTTATTATTTATACATATACTCATACCCATATATGCATATAAATAAATAATATATTTGTATATAAAAAAATTCTTCTGCATAAAGCATCTAAATTTACGCTCTATAAACGCATACACGACAATTTCTTCTAACCTTTTTTTTTTTTTATCATAAACTAAGCATCACATTCATGAACATCTAGGCATACATAATATATATAATATTCTCGTATATAACTTTTTGTATAACATTTATTATATCCTATAATAATATTTTAAGCATAGAATTTTTATTCACATATTCCCGAGTATTTTATACACCTTATCCATTTAAAGTAGGTCAAAATGTTGTTGAAAATAAAAGTAACAAAATTATAATAATAATACCAAAACAAAAAAATTATAAGAAAAAATAATAAACCCGAATAAAGAATAACAACAACAAGGAAAAAAGGAGAAAAAGATGACAGAGAAAGTATAAAAAAAAAAAATTATATGGGCATGACGCCTGTTTTTCAATTTTTTTTTTTTTTGCTAAGGATTGCAAAAAATAAATATATTTTTTTTTTTAGATACTAAATTATCGGGTCAAGGAATATTCACAAATAAATTTATAATATTATGTATATTGTAGTAGTATAGTAGACGGTATACGCAAATATACACACATAAGTAACATGTTTGCGTAAAAAAATTTTATATGGGAATAAAAGTTATAAAGCCTAAAATATAATTTTTAACAGGCAAAAATGAATAAATAATAAAAATATTCAATAAAACAAAATATTTGCAAGAAAATATTTGCACAATATATATATTTTTTTTTTAATATTTTAGCATAAAAATAAAGAAAAATGTAATATTTTTAACATAATGCACCTACAAATATGCAAATTTTTTATATTCCACAATTATTAAACATATTCTTTCGTATAAATTGAATTATAGCTAGCTAGAAGCTTATTCTAAATTTAATCAGTTAGTAAGTCCAATAAGAAATTTCCAAGTAAATTAACTATACTCTTATATTTTCAAAAAACATGTTATTATATTGAATATAACAACTTTGAAAATTACTCCTAATGGGACATTATTCCTAATTACTCCTAATGGTCCACAAGTTGATAGGCGAAGGGTCGTTTCTTGATACCATAACAATTAGCCAGCTAGCTATATGAATTTGCTTATATTATAAGAAATACAAATAAATTAATGGAGACCCCAAACGGTATGCAATATTAACTGATATTGGTAAAAATAGTGAAAAATAAAAAATTCGAAATTTTTGCATGTTTTACAATAAAATAATATCAAGCCGTTCTTCAAGAGTTGCAACACAATAATCGGAACGAGATTGCTAAACTTCATGTCGTAATATGAGAGCGAGTCCTTTAAAATTTTCATTTTGTATGAGGTCTTCGTAGTGGACGCTGATGTAATGATGTAATTTTTCACATACAATTGTAATAAGCTATATTTTCCATTAAAATTAAAAAATATAAATTTTCGCATGTTTTATTTTAAAACAACAACCAGGTACGACAGCCCCCATACATGT